CTGAGAATGGCGGATCCGGCTGGGAGATGCTCGTGCTTGAAGTGGCATCGGCTGGCTGGGAGGAGAGCGGCTCGGGGCGGAGTGTGTCTGGGCTGGCTGTGCCACAGAGACACTGCCCGGATCTTTCCAGGAAGGTGCTGGGGTCCTGGCTATTCTGGCCTTCTCAAGGCCAAGGAAGAGGCAAACAGTTGGTTTCCTTGGTTTTTATTTAAAACTCTCACGAGCCTGAAATGACAGCAAAATTACTTTGCTTCTTTTAGGCTCTAGAAAAAAAAGACTGCTCAAGAGACAAGAAGCAAGCAAAGAAGCAGAGCTTTTTCTTTCCAAATCTTTCTGTTGTTTAAATAATTCCAGCCTTCCTGTCACTTGCAAATCAGGGATGCTCTCAATGTAGGCAGCAAATAACTCTCAAACAGCCTCTCAAATGAAGGTGGGGCATTTTCCTACCCCGTGCCTTCTGACAGAAGCAGTATTTGCGTACATTTGTGCATTCTGTAGCCTGAATATTTGGAAGCCTTAGGCCTTTTACCTTGTGTGCTTGCTCCCCCATTGTCTAATCAGGCCTCCAGTGCCTCCTGAAGGAGTCTTGTAGAAGACACCTACATTTCTGAGCTCAGTCTCTGTGACTAGGAGATATGATTAGAACCATAATTTTGCTAGGACACAGTCTGGGAGGTTACTTGTGTTCCTTCTACAGCCTCTGGAGTCTTGATGTGTTAGAAGTCTCACCAGTCATGGAGAAACCATAGGATCATAGAATGGTTTGGGTTGGGACATGAAAGATCATTTAGATCCACCCTCACTGCATGGGCAGGGACACCTCCCACAAGACCAGGTTGTTCAAGATCCTGTCCAACGTGTCCTTGAACACTTCTAAGGATGGGGCATCCACAACTTCCCAGGACAACCTGTTCCAGTGTCTCACCACCCTCATGGTAAAGAATTTCTTCCAAGTGTCTAATCTAATTCTCCCCTCTTCCATTTTAAAGTGATTCCCCCATTGTCCCAGCACTACATACCCTTACAAAAAGTCCATCCTGAGCTTTCTTATGAGCCACTTCAGTTACTGAAAGGTGCTCTAAGGTCTCCCTGGAGTCTTCTCCAGGCTGAGCAACACCAATTCTCTCAGCCTGTCTTCATATCAGAGGTGCTTCAGCCCTATGATCATTTTTGTGGCCCTCCCCTGGACTTGCTCCAACAGCTCCATGACCTTACGGGCGCTCCAGAACTCGACACTACTCCAGGTAGGGTCTTAGCAGATGGGAAGAATCCCCTCCTATGACCTGCTGGCCACACTTATTTTGATGCAGCCCAGGATGTGGTTGGATTTCTAGGCTGCAAGTGCACACTGATGGCTCATGTAAAGCTTCTCATTAACCAACACCTCCAAGTCCTCTTCTGGGTTATTCTCAATCCATTCTTCCCCCAGCCTGTATTTGTGCTTGGGATTGCCCCAATCCAGGTGCAGGGGCTTGCGCTTGGACTGGTTCAACTTGATGAGCTTGGCATGGTCCCACCTCTCCAGCCTCTGTCAAGGTCCCTCTGGATAGCCTCCCTTCCCTCCAGGGTGTTGACCACACCACACAGCTTGATGTCATCAGCAAACTTGCTGAGGGTGCCCTCAGTTCCTCGGTTCATGTCACTAATGAAGATTTTAAACAGCACTAGTCCCAGTGCTGACCCTTGAGGAATGCCATTCATCACTGGTCTCCATTTGGACATCAGGCTGTTGACCACAGCTCTTTGAGCATGACCATCCCATTCCTTATCCACTGAGTTTTCCATCCATAAAATCCATATCTTTCCAATTTGGGAAATTTGGAAAAAGAGACCTTTGTATCATGTGGGGCAGTGTCAAATGCTTCGCACAAGTCCAGGTAGATTATGTCATTTGTCTCCCCTTGTCTACAGATGCTGTGATACCAACCAGGTAAAAGCCCACCACATTTCTCAGGCACAATTTGCTGTTGTTGAAACCGTGCTGGTTGCCACCAACCACCTCCACATTTTCTGTGTACCTTAGCAGAGCCTTCAGGAGGATCTGCTCCATGATCCTGCAGGGCACACAGGTGAGACTGACTGGCCTGTGGTTTGCTGGGTTTTTCCTTTTTTCCCTTTTAAAAAATGAGGGTTATCTTTCCCATTTTCCTGTCACTGGGAACTTCACTAGACTGCCAAGATGTTTCAAATATGATGGAAAGTGGCTTTGCAACTTCATCCACCAGTTCCCTCAGGAGCCGCAGATGGATCTCATCAGGCCCCATGGACTTGTGCACTTTCAGGTTCTTTAGGTGGTCTTGAACCTGCTCTTCCCCTACAGTGGGTGGATCTTCCTTCTCACAGTCTCTGCCTTTGCCTTCTGCAACTTGGGTGATGTGGCTATTGAAGACTGAGGCAAAAAAATCATTGAGTACCTCAGCCTTCTCCATGTCCCATGTGACCAGGTCTCCTGTTTCCTTCTGGAGAGGACCCGCGTTTTCCATAGTCTCCCTTTTATCACCAAGGTACCTGTAGGAGCTTTTCTTGTTACCCTTGATGTCCCTAACCAGATTTAATTCTATTGGGGCTTTAGCTTTCCTAACCTGATCCCTGGCTGCTCGAACAACTCCTCTGTACTCTAGGCTACTGTCCTCATTTCCACCCTATGAGAACTTTCCTTTTTTGCATGTGTCCAGAAGCTCCCTGTTCATCCATGCAGATCTCCTGGCATTCTTGTCTGCCTTCCTCTTCGTTGGGATGCATTGCTCTTGGGCTTGGAGGAGGTGATCCTTGAATACTGACCAGCTTTTTTGAGCTTCTCTCCCCTCCAGGATTTTATCCTATGGTACAAGCAGTTCCCTGAAGATGCTGCTGAAGTCTGCTCTCTTGAAGTCCAGGGCAGTAATCTTGTTTTGTACCCTTGTTGCTGCCCTAAGGATCCTCAATTCCACCATTTTGTGGTCAGTGCAGCCAACGCTGAACTGTTGCTTCATGTTGCCCACTAGCCCATCCTTGTTGTTGGGAACACAGTCCAGCACAGTACGTTTTCTTGTTGGTTCCTCTACCACTTGGAGGAGGAAATTGCTGTCAGTGCATTCCAGGAACTTCCTGTATTGCTGATGCCTTGCTCTGTTGTCCTTCCAACAGATACTGGGATGGTTGAAATCCTCACGTAAGTGTGAAGGTGCTCCTATCTCCCCATAGAGGGCCTCATCTGCTCCGTCTTTCTAATCAGGTGTCCTGTAGGAGACCCCCACTATGATATCACCTGTCCCTGTCTTACCTTTGACCCTGACCCATAAGCTCTTGGTCTGCTCCTCATTCATCCCCAGGTGGAGCTCCATGGACTGCAGCAGGTCATTGACACAGAGGTCAGCACCTCCTCCTTTTCTCCCCTGCCGGTCCCTCCTAAAGGGACATGCTGGAGACATGTACCCATGCTCCAGTCATAGGAGTCATCCCACTATATCTCAGTGATGCCCCTAAAACATCATAGCCCTGCAGGCTTGCACACATGTAACTCCTCTTGTTTGTTTCACCAGGCCCAGCACATCTATTAGTGGCAGTGGCCACAAAGTGTTGGCAGTGGGATGGATTGAGGATTCCCTCCCCCAACAACTTTAGTTTAAAACCCTCTTTACTAAATTGGCAATCCTATGGCCAAAGATGCTCTCCCCTTCCTCTTAGACATTAACTCCATCAGCCCCTAGGAGACCAGGTTTCCATGATCTAAGTAGCCAAAGCCTTGGCTGTGGCACCACTCGTGTGACCCTTTATTGATTTTCCCAATAAGATTTGCCCTTTCAAGCCCCTTCCCTTTGACTGGTTGGATTGATGAAAATACTGTGTCACTCCTCTGTACCTCTCAGAAGACAATCTCCCACTACTATCACACATCACTTCTTGGTTGCACTGGTTGTCTGGTTGTTATGGTGAGCTGACTGGGCTGCCTTACTCATCTCCAGCATCTCACCTGGTGCTGCGTGGTTTTCTTCATCAGTCTGCAGAACTGTAAAGTGGTTCTGCAGGGCTACCTTGGGCTTTGAGAGAAGCCTCTTCTTCCTGCTGGTTTTTGCCTTTGAAATCTTTTCTTCCTCTCCATTATTTACTTCTCTCCTTTCTGTGTGTGTACTGGTGGGGTAGTTTATGGCTGTGTGGCCATACACTGCTTCACTGCATTTTGGGCCTGGATCCAGCTCTCTATTGCCCTTTCTGCCTCCCTGATGTCACACAACCTTTTCACTTCCCTGCAGGTCAGCTTTGCAGGTTTCCCATCTATCCCTGCCCCATGCAAGAGGTCTAGGCACTTCTCATAGCCTGAAGTTTGTACAGCAACCTCTCTCTTCAGCCCCTTCATCTGGGTGGAGGCACCAGTCACCACTGGGTAAATGGTGCAGACCCCCCAGCCAGAGCTGCAGCTTTGCCTCTCTGCTGAGTGCCCACCATTCTGCCCTGTGGTTCAGTTAGGATGAGCGCCCTTGGCCAGAGCAGATGACCTCAGAGCAGAGCCCTTTGAAGGAGTGCCCTCCCTACCCACCCTTCTTTGCAAACTGCCATGGAAATTGGGACCTGAGCATGCATATTCCCCCAGGGTTTCTTTGCAATACACATGAGGAAACTGGGACCTTTTCCTCTTGGTCCATTTCCCTTTTTTGTGACATCTCTGGGAATAACAATTTGCCTGTGTCATCCCTCTTTTCCAGCTTGGGAACAAAGATCTGTGTGGGAATGGGTTCCACAGCCACGTCGTTTGCTTCTTTCCCCAAATGCTAGCAACTGCTGCTCTGGTGGAGGTCCTCTGCATATTCACATCTACAGAGAAGCATCAGAAATGGCAGGGTTTTCTCTTCACCTGCAGTCAGGTATTTCCATTTTCTATACTTCTGACACCCCTGCAACTCTCACAGATATCTTCTGCCCATTTTTCTGCATCACCACTTTCTTTTGCTCCCCTCACCATCTCCTTAGTCTTTTTCTCTGTCCTGCATTGTTGTTCTCTGTCTAGAACAAACTTGAAATATAATATCTAGTATACTTTAAATTTCTCATGACAGAATCAACCAATTTGACAGCTGAAAAAGAAAAAAAGACACAAAAAACTCAACAAAAAAAACCAACACACACGAAACCCAACAAACCCTCCCCCCCAAAAAAACAAACAAACAACAAAAAAAACAACGCCCCAAACCAAACCACAAACGACAAAACTTATTCTGTTGTTCACAAGGCCTTTGGAGAAGAAATCAATGTCTATTACTCCACCTAAAAACCTTGAGCACACCTGGAAGGAGTGCTCAAGTATTATTTGTTGCATGAGCTTTCTTTTTGGACTGACAAGTGAAAGTCCTTAGGCTTTTGCTAACAAAATGCTATCCAAAATCCATCTCTTCTGCTGCAGGCAAGCTAACTTGAAAGCTGTGGAAACTTTTTACTTGTGTTGTCTTTTCGCCCCAGTGTGGAAGTAAAATAACTAATACCTCATAGGCAGGGGTTTGAAGCCTTCTCTATTTAGGAGGTATCTGCACCATGACCTGATAGTGTCACTGAGTCAGGATGACCCAGCTGTTGAAGGAATGAATTGTTTGTGGAAGGATGGAGTGTCCTTATCTGAAGTAATCCTCTCTCTGTTGTGATTTACCATGTCTTGATTATCTGACATGGCTTGATTAAGAATGAGGTTTATAATCCAAAGGTGTGTGAACTCTGTAACAGCCCTGTTTGGGCAGGGTTCACATAAGTAGAGTCTGTCACTGCTGCTCTCTGCTCTCCCCTATAGTTGTAGCAGTAAGCTGCTTCTGTCCTGACCTGATCTGAATTGCATCCTGATTGTTCTGAGACAGAAAGTGCAAGTTGCAGATCTTGTAGAGACACTGTTTCAGTGTTCTGTGAAACTCTGGAGGAAATTTTTATTGTAGAGGCAGCATATGAAAGAGCCATGGTTTAGTCAAATGTTTAATTTATAATTGCTCCTATCTCTCTGCTGTAAGGTAGGATCAGCTGTAGTATCATTCTTTTTATTTTATTTGGTGCATTTTCTCTTGGAGATGTTTTCTCTTGGAGAAGACCTTAGCTTTCTCTGTCCTCCTGCTAGTATCAATGTCTTTACTGCATTTTTGTCACACTAACTTTTCTTGTCCTCCAATCTGGCAGTGTGAGCAAATACACATAACTCCTGAAGATCTCCCTTTGCAGGCAACAACAACAATGCTTGGTTGTGATAGTCTGTCTTGTTTTAGAATTCTGCTGTGGGGTGACAGTCACTCTACTGTGTTTGTAGTTGGGCAGTCCAAAAGATTTCTCATATCTCTGCTCTCTACTCATAACTATCAGCTCAGATGTGCCCGAAACCAGTGACACGTTACAGGTTCTGGTGACAGCATTTTAGACATCCAGAGTCAGTTCAGTCATGCCCAGGAGGTGTTGCTTGTTTTCCTCTCTTTTGTGCATGAGCAATCCTTTGGACTGCCCAAGGAAGGAGAGTTATTGTTGCCGTTGGGCTACAAGGTCAGCAGGTGACCCTCTCCCCTCACCCACCCCTGAACTTGATGGGAAAGAGGCATAGTGATCTTAACACGTCTCATTTCTCTTCCAGGAAAGATCATTGGTGGGTCTGAAGCCAAGCTACACTCCAGGCCCTACATGGCTCATTTATTAATTGTAAATGAGTCAGCTAGATTTACACGTGGAGGATTCCTGCTTCGCTCAGATGCAGTGGTCTCAGCAGCTCACTGTGTGCCTGGCAAAAGGTAAAGCTCTGTCTTTTTTCCATGTGTGCCTTTTTTCAAGTCTCACACAGTCATGAAGAACCATAGTTCTGGTCTGGAGTGGAAGAGCACTCTGTGTCTTTTCAGGCACAGCAGGGCTTACTGTGAGCCGAGCCATCCCCTGGGTGTTGCAGAAATTGTCTGCAAGGGCTGTGTGAGCAGGACAGGACTCCTCAGCAGCGGTGTCCTTATCCTGATGGTTCTTACCTTGGGTCAGAGCTGCTGCTTGTAAAGAGAGGACGGTGTCTCTGAATCCCTCCTCTTTTGTCTTTGGAATGGTACACCCCAGCCCTACATCAGCATGGGGTAAGGGACCCTCAGCTGAATTGTGGAAGGAATCCAGGCTACAGAAGGTAAATTGCTGAGAACTAAACTCTGAGGAGGCATATCCCAACAACAGCTCCCTCAGACCAACTTCCACAAGGGCTGTGTCGCTGTGGGCAATGCAGTTGGAACACGTTGGTGTTTCCTGGGAGGCAGGTGAGTATCACCATGACTCTGGGAGCCCACAAGATCCGGAAGAAAGAGTTGAGCCAGCAGATCTTCCACATTGGCCACTGGGTCATCCACCTCAAGTAGTCAGAAGATACCCTTAAAAATGACCTCATGCTGCTGAAGGTCTGCCTTCACACAACCTTGCTGCTTCAGGCATCTCCCCCTACTCATTTTCCCAGACCCCTGAGCTTGTTCCCATTCCTTTATCTGCTCTAACCACATGTTCTCTGTGGTTGGCAGCTGGAGCCAAAGGCCAGGCTCTCTGAAGAATCGAATTATATCCTCTTGCCCAGTCGCAATGAGCATGTGAAACCAGGAACCATCTGCACAGTGGCTGGGTGGGGTGGCACATCGATGACCGGGGCCAATACTAGTGTGCTGATGGAGGTGGACCTAAAAGTTCAGCGTAACAAAGTGTGTGAGAAGTCTTTCAAAGAGCTCTATCTGCATCAGTCTATGATCTGCATTGGTGATAAGGATGGCAAAAAAATCAACTTTCCATGTAAGTGTTGCTCTGGGCTCCAAGCTTGGGGTAGGGTTGGGACTAGGGAGTAAGGTTGGTTCTCAGCTGGGTGATGAAAGGGATTTAAATGAACTCCATTATTCTGGATGATGTTCAGAGTCTCCTCTCAGGGAGTCTGAATATGATGCACTCTCTGAGCTTTCAGCATTGTGTGGCCTTTTTACATACCTGAAGTTATTCTACCCAGCCTAACCGCTGCTCCAGCAGGCTGCAGATCCTTTCTTATACCCTCCTGACACAGTAGGATGTCTGGAATATTCCCACGTGTCTGAAGTAGGCCTAGAATCTTCTTTCCAGGGTTTTTAGGGCAGTTTTAGCAACCCCTGCGTTGCTTCATGGATTGGCTTAGAGGAGTAGTAAGGCAGGTACGAGCCCTGTGGAGCTGGGCCTGGAGGGAGATGGGGAAAAGGCAGGTTCTTCATTTGGCAGGATACAAGAGGGCCAGTTTCTTCCTTAGGGCAGGAGGAGTTGTGCTCTGACATGTCTGACCACTCCTTTCTGCTCAGAGGCTGATTCTGGTGGCCCATTAGTCTGCAATGGGAAGGCTCAAGGCATTGTTTCGTATGGACTCAAATCCTGCATCTTCCCTAAAGTGTTGACCAATCTCCTATTTTGAGCCCTGTATGTGTGAAGAACTGAGGAAGTTTGCGCTCCAAGAGCTACTTCTCTCTCCCTTCTCTGACTGAAAGGTTCAGTGCGCCACTTCCACAATGGATCAAACATGAGAGGCTTCTAGAGACAGATGTGATGGAGCCCAGGATGCCCTCATTGGATGTGCTTTTGCGCCCATGGCTGTCTCCATGGCAAAGTAAAAATGCAGGTCTCAATTACACGCAGTTTCCTATTGTGCCCTTCCTCCCACTGCTGCCCAGGAGGGCTGCCTCTTGCTCTGCTTTCTGGCCCCCAGTAAAAGCATGTTCAAATTTGCCTGTGTGTGAAGTCATCTTGTGAAGAGGATGAAATGCCTGAGTTGAGAATTCAAATGCTCAATTGAAATGTGGTAGTAATAGTGAGCTGATTCCAGCAGGATATTGTTGTCATTCATGTACAGGATGGCAAACCTGATTTACCCATTCAGTGCTTAATCACGTCACTAAGCACCACATCAGTCTTTCTTCTAAATACTTCCAGGGATGGTGACTCCACTATCTCCCTGGGCAGCCTGTTTCACTGAGCAACCACTCTTTCAGTAAAGAAGTTCTTTCTAATATCCTCCCCTGGTGCAGCATCATCCATGTAACCATGCTAGCCAGCCAGTGTGGGTAACTCCCAGAAAGGCAGAACAGTCCAATTTAATTGCTGATACATTAATGTACAGCGCTAGCTCCATTCTTTTTAGAAACCAAGTTAAAGAGAACTTGCTGTTGTCCTGGATTTTTAATTATGTAAGGACCTGTATTATAGATGTGAAGAGACAGTTTAATAGGAAGCCAAGCTGGTAAAAATGGCTGTTGAATCTTGAACTGGAGAGCCATGCTGGAATGAAATTTGAAGTTGGCCCAAATCACATTGAGTGCCGAGCAGATTATGGTAAACACACTCCAACTTTCATGTCCACAGTGACAAGCACGTGTGTGATCAAAATCGTGTTTCAGTTTGTTCCTGGTGTATTCTACAGTAGTGTGTAAGAGTGTTGTGCATTCGGTGTGGTTTTCAATTTGGCATCCTATTGAAGTGGTGACTCCACTCATACCCTTTAGAGATGGAATTTGCCAATCACCTTTTAGAATACATTTTTGCTTGCGGAAGGCAAAGTTATTGAGTTACACTACTACAGACAAACTTAGGCATTTGCCCCTTGGTCCCTCTGATACCTGGAACACCAGGGGATTTATTTTCTGCTAAATTACTTTGTCCTTAAATGCAACAGTGTCAGATGCAAGCATGGCTATGACAGCAAAATATTTCTTCTCTTAGTTAAAACTGTACTGATCAGGAGGAGGGTTCTTTCACAGCTGGCCTGAACAGCCACCATCACATGAGTTGCTTCACTTGATATTATTTTTTCCCTCCCAAGTTCTTCCACTTTACCACTAGCTACCACCTTAAATAAAAAGCTAAAACCTGCATACCCTTTACTCATTCATTAACCTGGGTTTTGTACATGGAGCCTGGAGTTTATCAGGGATTCAGAGTTAATCAGTGATTATGAGAATGTTACCTGCTAATGTCAAGATGTAGGTGATGAACAGGATGGTAAAGAGCACATACTGGAGTTGTTCATCATCAGTAACACCCAAAAGGATTAATTCCATCACTGTTGTTTTATTCTCCATCTGTAGCTTATCTTCAAACAGATAAAAATGTTCTTAGGAAAGCATTCATGCAGCAAGCATGACATGAATTTCTAAAACCTACAAATGTTACAAACTCGACTCTGCTTCCTTCATCAGAGAGCAAACACTATACAGCTTCTTTCAGAAATCATACCACATTCTTTACACCCTTGCTCATGGGATTATGAAGGTAGCCAACACTCTTTATCTGCTGAGGCTCAAACGGAAGTATGTACGTCTCAGAGAAATATCTGTCACACACCACTTACCACTGAGACCCATGAGGACAGAAGGCTCAGGCATTGTTTTTCCTCTGTCCCATACCTTTCCATTCTCTCTGATTTCATGCTAATGAAGGAAGGAACTGTTCTGTGTGCACAAGTGGCTCCTTAAATGACACAATTATATTCTTTGCATAAAGCTCTTTGCACTTTCCCCTCATTCTTCATGTGGATTTGGACTACCCAGTAGGAGAGTGATTTGTGAACTAGCCACCACTCTCCTGAATCATTCAATATGGAGAAAAGAAAAGAGAAAGCTGGTGGGAAGAAAGAGAAAGGAACAAGAACAGAAAGCACAATTTAGGTTGCAGTAATTTACAGGATTATTGACATTTGTTTGAAGATGGATTGATGAATGGAGGAATGCATGGATGGATGGATGCATGGATGCATAGAGTAAGTAGATTGGTGAATGGACAGATGCCTAAGGAGAGACAGAAAAGTTGCTAAATTATTTTCTTTCCCTTTCTCAATTGCATCCACATTCATCACCATGTCAAATTTATGGGGATTTAGAAATTGCTATGTTCCATTTGAAATTCCATTTAGAAATTACTATATTCCAAGGCATCCTAAAATTGTGTGTTCCACAAGCTATATATAGATGAATGGATTGAGCAAAGGAGATACTACAGTGTTCAAGGTGGACCACCCTGCTGAGGTCCAGTCTGTTGGTCTGGCTGGGTGTAAGGTACATGAAGATGCAGCTGCTGTATGTGATAGACAGCAAAGTGAGGTGAGCGGCACAGGTGGAAAAGGCTTTCCGTCCACCAGCCACAGAGGGGATTTTGGCCACAGCAGTTATGATGTTGATGTAGGACACAACTATAATAGCTAGGCTACCCACTAACACTGCTGAGATTAAACTGATGCACCTTGGTATTTCCACATTTGAGCTGAATCATTGTTGTGCCATCAGAGAAAAAATTATTAATCGTATTTGAACCACAGAATGGCATCTGGAAAGGGAAGGGACAAGAACGAGGACAGCCCCATCAATCCAGGCAGTAATCGCCAACAGGCCGCAGAATTGTGAATTCATAATGGCCACGTAGTGTAGAGGTTTGCAGATGGCCACATATCTGTCAAAGGACATTACAGCTTACAGGAGAGAGTCATTGGTACCTACCATGAAGAAGAGAAAAATTTGAGTGAGGCAACCCCTTAAAGAAATTGTGTTTTTTTCCTAATGCCAGGTTAGCCAATGCTTTGGGGATGACAGTGGTGGTAAAGTCAATCTCTAAAATGAAGAAGTTCCTGAGGAAGAAGTACATGGGAGCCTGAAGATTATGGTTTATCAAGGTGATGGTGATTATGAGAATGTTACCTGCTAATGTCAAGATGTAGGTGATGAACAGCATAGTAAAGAGCACATACTGGAGTTGTTCATCATCAGTAACACCCAAAAGGATTAATTCCTTCACTGTTGTTTTATTCTCCATCTGTAGCTTATCTTCAAACAGATAAAAATGTGTTTAGGAAAGCATTCAAAACCAAAAAAATTATGAGCGAGACTCTCCAAAACCTTATTCCTGAAATCAGACAGTGTTTCCTTTTTACTGGTTGTTCTTCCAACTATCAAGGCTCAAGAAGATGTCCCCTCTGAATCACATTCTATCCCTCCCCACTGGTTTCTAAGATGAAGTCTACACTGGCTTTCTGAGCAACACTCGATCCTGAACATGTAAAGGTAAATGAATCCACACTTAGAAGAAGCTCTTGAGTATGAAGCAGTGATCCTTCCTTCTTCTTCAGTGAAGAGCCTAAAGACACAGTTAAAATTAAATGAGACACAGGGAGGCAGGGAGTTGAAGGACTGGAGCTTTACTGTGGGTGGCTCTGATATAGCATGTAAGCAGAGGCATACCCAGTGGGAGCTCAGAAAAGGAGCATCACTTGATTGAATGTAGCCTTTGTGAGTATGTCCACTGCCAAGGTTTAACTAAACCTCCCAACAGTATTCCCAGTCCTTGGTGTCATATTCTTAGTTAAATTCATCCTACATATCTCTACCTTGCTAAAAGGTGCTAAATCCAAGCAGGTTATCATAGAACTGGTACCCAGCACTTTCAGAGAGGAATTTGTTCCCTAATGAAATTAACTGGTTGATTCTATGATCCTGTGATTAGCCGCTGGATTTGCGGAAGTGTGATTCAAATAACAGCGGAGTCTGTCTCCAGAAACAAACAGAAGATGAGTTGGCTCAGCCATCTCTAACATTATTTCTGGTAAAGGGCTATATGACCAAATAATCTAGAAACCCTTTTTGGATATAGAAGGTATGTGCAGGACATGGTTCAGCTCATGTTAGGGTAGATTACATAATTGGGTTCCTGGATTGTCTATAATGGTCCCAGAACAGAACAGAAAATAAATAAATAAATGAATAAATAAATAAATAAAATAAAAAAGACAGAGATGTAAATAAACATCTGATAACACCTTAGGTAGTACTGACTATCCATGACATCGATTTCGTGCTGGCAGATTGGACATGTATTTAATAATTTTCTGCAACCTAGAGTTGAGAGAGAACATCTTAACTCATGAAAATGTCACTGAGTTATTCTGGCAACTTTTAAACATAGAGGGATCCACTTGAATTCCTAGATGTTTAAGACATCTACAGAGGAGTTGCAGACTGTGGAGGACAATTGCTGCTGGAGAACACAGTGGGAGGCTGGTCAGGTAACCCTGAGACATTTCAAATTGAACTAGACACCTGTACGTAGGTAACCAAATCAGGCATTTCCGCTGCTAAATGCCTAAAATAAGTGCAAGTTTTGAGCTTGTCATAGGAGATTTTTCTACTTAGTTGATAACAATAAACATTGGCAGGGACAACTCATATTCATCTTAAGCGAGTAGTGAAGATACATCTGAAAATTGCCTTCTGGACCTCTTGCTCTCGGCACTCACAATAAACTGAGTTTAAGGTACTTCCTCAGATTTGAATGTGCAACTTGAAGAGATGGATACTCCTTGGACTCAATGAAAATACTTTAATTCATGCCTATTACAATGAAGGAAGTATGAATTATTACTGAAGATTAACAAGAATCCTGAGATGAGTCTATCACAAAATCTTAATGATCGCAGATAATAATTGTGGCAGTAATAACATAGAATATTCATATTGACAGAGTGACTACTTATAATAAATTTATTGATAGCACACTGAGAGAAGTTTTCAAGGGCTAGAAAACCTCTTGTTTTGGAGAGAAGATAATTCACAATATCTTAACAGATAGACATATTTTCATCTCCCTGAGGGAGCTGGATCAAATTTCATCCTTCAGATCATCTTTGTTATGGCATTGCTATAAGGGAAGAGATAAATATTGATGGTAGCCAGTATTGGGGGACTTCCACAACTCACCATGCAGATTGAGAAAATCACATATTCCTGGAAGGAAGACCTTTTGTTTTCAAACCCTTAGAAATATCTTTCAGATCTTATCAGCTGGTATTGTTCTATCACCTAATCCCTTGAAATTGCTTTTTAGCCAATGAACACTCCTCCTGAGATGTCTTCTCTTCTGAGGAGGTTTTATTATGCTTGGGTCTCAGTGACCTGCCTTTTAAGTGACAAAATCACATCTTGTTTTGTGAGGTTTCAAGTATGGAGCTCTTTCTTAAACTAATCTGCAGCAAGAAAAAAAAAAAAAAAATCATGTATACTGGTTACAAGCATATATAACCTACTTTTCCAAGTAGAGTATGTTACTAAAAGATTCAACACTAAAAAAAAAAAAAAAAGAAAATGCTCAATTTAGTGCCATTAACATGGCTTTCATTTTGCAGTTACTTTAGGGGATATCAGCCTAGTAGTAGCCTAGCTTCTTCTTAGAGCTTTTCCTGTGTGTCATTACACGAGTGTCTAACTATTTAATTAGGTCTATTCCTGATTTCCCCTTGTCCTACCACTACCCTCTCTGTGAAAAGTTTCTCCCCACATTTCATATGGACTCCTTTTCAGTATCTGATGGCCACTGTAACACCTCCCTGGAGCCTTCTCTTCTCCAGGCTGAATAGCCCCAACTCTCTCAGTCTGTTTTCACAGCAGAGCTGCTCCAGCCCTTTGATCATCTTTGTGGTCCTCCTCTGGACCCCTTCCAACAGCTCCATGTCTTTCCTGTGCTGAGGGCTCCAGAGCCGTACCCAGTATTCCAGGTGAGGTCTCACCAGACCAGAGGGACAGAATCACTTCTCTTGACCTGCTGGCTCTGCCTCTTTTGATGCAGCCCAGGATATGGTTGTCTCTCAGGGCTGTGAGCGCACACTGGCAGCTCATGTCACTCATGTCGAGTTTCTCATCTACTAACACCCTCAAGTCCTTCTTCTCAGGACTGCTCACAATCCATTTTCCCCCAGCCTGTATTTATGCCTGGGGTTGCACTGACCCACATGCACCTGGCCTTGTTGAACTTCATGAGGTTGGCATTGGCCCACCTCTCCAGCCTGTCAGGGGCCCTCTGGATGGTGTCCCTTTGCCCTAGGATGTCAGCTACTCCACACAGCTTGGTATCCCCAGCAAACTTACTGAGGATACACTCAATCCCTCTGTCCATGCATCCAACAAAGATGTTGAATGACACTGGTCCCAGTACTGACCCCTGAGGAATGCCACTCATCACTTGCCTCCACTTGGACACTGAACCATAGACCACAACTCTCTGGTTGTGGCCATCCATCCAGTTCCTGACCCAACCAGTGGTCCATATGTCAAATCCATGTCTTGTCAGTTCGGAGACCAGGATATCGTGTGGGACAGTGTCCAATGCTTTGCACAAATCCAGGTAAATTGTGTCAGTTCCTTTTCCGGTGTCTGCCATCTTTGTAGCTCCATCTAGAAGGCCGCCAAATTGGTTAGGCATGACATGATTTGCTCTTATTGAAGCCATGTTGGCTGTCACCAATCACCTCCTTATTTTCTAAGTGCCTTATCAGAGTTTCCAGGAGGATCTGCTCCATGATCTTGCCAGGCACAGAGGTGAGACTAACTGGTCTGTATCTCCCCCGGTTTTCCTTTTTCCCCTTTTAAAAATAGGGGCTATGTTACACTCATGGCCCTGACAGTGCTGCAAAGTTGTGGTCTGCCACAAACTCTCTTGACTCTGATGACAGCTATGGTGGACCAAATGGATTGATGATCCCTGACCAGCCCTGACTAGCCTGTCTTTCTCTTTTAGATTTTATACCTTTATTGTTGTTTGTTGTGTGTTTTTTTTCTGAAATCTTAAGCTAGCAATGATCACATTTCAACAATTCCACTTCCATCTGTAATCAGACAGTACTCTACTTTCATTTAATTTCATTTCCTTCCCTTCCTCCCTCCCTCCCTTCCTGCCTGCCTGCCTGCCTTTCCTCACAGATCTTTTGTAATGAACCTTGCCTACACAGCTGTGGCAAAACACAGTCGTGTTAGATTCTCGATACTCTGGTAGCTGAATCCTGGCTAAAGTGGGGGCCTACAGCCAGATGTCCCCAGTGAGAGGCAAAGATGTGGAGAATTCGGTCTGTTTAGGAAGGGAAAAGTAAGTGCAGCATGGGAAGTTCTCAGTGACAAAGGCTCCATTCTGAATAAAAATTACTTTTTATAACATAGAGACATAAGAGATCACAGAACATCTTCACTTCAATCAGCAAACAGGCTCTGTTAATTTCTATTTTTCACTTGTAACAGTCAATATGCAATGATGGTTTCTGTTCTTCCAGACTAAATTTATTTTCCCAGACTGTTTCCAACTTTTCAGATTAGAAGGTGCTATTACAGTTTTTTGGGGTTTGCATATACTGATTTTGTCTCAGGATGTCTCCAGTACCCCATATGTACCTCAGAGAGGCCAGCTGCACCTCTTAGAATATTTCTGTCTCCTAGGCCTAGTTCTCAGGCTTACAGTTCTCCAGCTGGTAGGCATTTTCTTTTGTTGAGTAATTTTATCCTTCTAACCAGGCTGCCTTTCTAGCTGCTTATGTCACTCCATTCCTTGGTCTACAATCACTTACAGATCGCTAGTAGGGACACTACACTGTGATACATCTTTTGTGCTTTCTAATGTTTTAGGTGGAAGAAACTCATGTCTGATTAGGTCCAACGCTGTTCTGACTTCTGGAAGGATTTGTCCATTGGGACACAAGTGTGCAGACGCAGTGATTTAATATGAGATATTGTAAAAGAAAGAACAGATCTCGCATCTAAAATGAAAGCTATTATGAATACATGTTGTGGCCATGCTCTATGCAGTCATTCAATACTATCCCAGTAAGCCCTGCTCTGTCAAACTCCTGCAGTGGCTCTCAAGAAATAGACCTGGTGCCAGATGGCTGACCCTCAAATCCATGCTTTAGAAGTTTTTTGGTTTGTTAGTTGGTTTGTTTTCTGTGATGACCAGGTTTCATTTTGTGTTGTTGGGTGTTGGTTTGTGGGGTTCTTTGGGGG